GTAGTTGTTATAGCAACCACCTACATTACTTATTTTTCGTTGATAAGTCGTATTTTGGTACTACCAATCTATCCTATAAATAAAGTGTTAAACCATAGTTTGTTTAAAGCAATGAAGGATTGATTTTTCCCACAGTGCTATGATTAGGCTTTAATTTTTTTATTGAATTTCGCATGGCTTTGCTTCCCAAAAGGCAGTCCACCTTGGATGAGAAAATCTTTGGGAGGCAAAGCCAGGTAAAATTCACTGGGAACGTAAGTTCTACTCATATCATTGTGTGAAAATTCATCTACTAGTAATTTAGCACATCTAACAAAATAGGGTGAATACATCTAATTTTTATGATGGCTGTCTTGAAAACCTACCAACGAAAAATGCTTCCCATTTTGAATAGGAGTAACTAGTGTAAGAAAGTAAATATGAACTATTTATGGATGTTGGATGGGCTGAAGTAGATGTATAGAGAAGTAGAGCATAAGTAACCATTGAGTAAGAGAGGTGGCTGGAACAGCCCCAAGTCTGGTTTGAGCTATCATATCTCTCATGAAATGAACATTATATACACACAATTGACAATGGCGCAAACACAAACATAAGTCAAAATTAGAGGATTGAACACTAGGTTATTTAGGTAAAGGGACAGCTACCACCGAATCTACTTAAGGTTCGTGAAATAATTTCTCTCATCTGCAAACATGGAAACTAAATTTGAGTAGCCAAACAAATTATGGGATACCTCATCAAATTCGTAAAGAAAGCTATATAAAAAAGTGAATATAGTTGCAGCCGGCCACTTTTTATTTTGGTTTAATATATTTTTTGTGCTATTTCGTAAAGTATGGGTTTTTGCTCTAAGGATTTCTGTGGCAGTAAAGACTATAGCTCAACACAGGTTCATCAGGCTCGCAGAAAGGTGAGCCAAGGAATTCCTCACACAATCCAATATTCACCATTCTGCGCCAATCTTCTATGGTTTCCAGTGTGAACCTTTCACTCATTTTTTCGAACTAATTCCTCCTTCGAATGAGAAAATTATTTCAAAACATTGGATAGTGTGAGTTAACCCATACTGAAATGTGTAGGCCTTAGGATGCAATAAAAATACACTTCTCCTGGCCTGAGTGGATCGTAGGTTCTAGCTCGCCTCATCATCTCTAATAACCTCCTCTCATAGTATTTGACACCAGGTCGTAAGTGACAACGTGGCATTACCACTTCATGACATAGCTACGAGTGTTCGTTGGTCAAAGAGTATACAGGCCATTCAAGGCAAGCCAGACCTCTCATAAATAACATTTTCTGTAGAGTGTCGATATTCATTTTCTTTTGCAATCGACGACACTACTTATTTCTGCTATATATAGTTTTCGAGGCTATCAGTCACTCGAAATAGCCTAAGTTGATTTAAACAACATGGGGTAAATAAGTTGCCGAGGTGAATGGCATTCCTATCCCGTGATTAAAGGGATTCTCTAGTGAATCAAAGTCAACTGGTACATTCACTTAATTGAGCTTACTTCCATTTCGAGTGAAAGTGTATGATGAAGAGATTCGGAGGTCGATACCATCAGAAGACAACGGCAGATTCCTCTTGAACAGCTGTCGGTTGGCTTTACTGGAACACTCATGCTCAAGCTGTTTTCGAGGTAATCTCCTTCGATTCCACTGAAAAGGTGCTAAGCTTTCGTCCATCGTATGACCAACATCATCAGAGCAAGATATCGTCGTCAACCAAATTCAAGCTAACGAGTCAAGAAAGCTACATTTACTTCGTCAGGAGACGTCTGAATGTTGCTCTTGATCTGGAATAATGTTGCTGGAAGAAGTATGCTCTCAGCATTACAGCACTACTGAGTTTTCTGTCCCCATTTAGCTGGCTCATTTATTTTTTATTTTATTTTTATTAGGTAAGAACTTTAACTCATCCGCACTTGTCTGCTTAACTTGCCGAGCCATCAAATTAGCCTCGATATCGTATGATTTTGTTTATTATTTCATCAACTGTCTTTATCGGTATATGTGCATGAGTGTGGGCATGTGTGGAGGTGGGTATGAATGCAAGTGTGATGCGAATATACTTGCAATTGTGGATCTGCAGATGGCTGATGATGGGGATTTGGATGTGGAAGTGAATGATTGTGTGTGTATAGGTATATGATTTCGTATCATTTCGCATTCTGTGTCCTATCGTCTTTCACTGTGTCGGTTCTGTGTATGGACGTAGGTTTGGTGTGGATGCAAGTGTGATTGTAAGTGTGGATTTTGAGGTGGGCAAATGTGAAGATGTGGATGTAGGTGGTGATATGAATATAGGTACATGATTATGTGTGTTAGTATATTGAAGGATATCAGAATGTGCTAGTCTTGAAATTTGTCCTCATTATTTTAGATCCGAGACACTCGCGTTTGAGAGCCCAATGAGAAGTTCAGGAATTCACATGATAATTCATGTATGTGTGGACGAAATTCCAACCCTACCTCACCTTCAATTGGTTAAGAGTACATCACGACAATTGTGTAGAGGATAGGCGAGATGACAAACGAGCTGGCACCGAAGGTTCGCGAGATGTCTGTCCAGGGGTCAGTTAATGCCTACGTCACGAAGGTCAGACTATTTTCAGGTGGTGGAGTTACGTCTCCTGTAAGCACGGCCAACTGTCCCACAGAAACTTGGGCCTGGTGCTCAAAGTCATGCCCACAATTATCCCATTTCTCCAGTTTGCACCTGCTTCCACGCGCTCACTTGACTTTGTGCTGCTATACCCCTTGACAGGCTGGCCCCGCCACCTCAACGACAGAGTCTGTCTGTCCTTGGGACTCAGACGGCTCGTGACGGCATGGTAGATGCCACCTTTAGGTTGACTTTAGGAAACTCTTGAAATTTGTCCTCGTCCTCCCAGCCAACATTGCTGTCTTGGGAACAAGCACTTTTTGCCTCCATTAAGATAAATGCGTTTCTTGACGTGGTCGTTTTGCCTGCCGGTAAAAGGTGTATATAAACGTGGGCAAATGGCTGGGGCTCTACGCCGCCTGTACTCCCATGTATGAGTCGGCGATTGTGTAAGTGTGTGTGTGTGTGTGTGTGTATGTTAAGTGGTCGGCCAGCATAGGGAGAAGGGAAAATGCTAGATGGGCCGAGAAATATCGGG